TGAGTCGTAAATTAGAGAATGGGGGAAAAAAGTTAGTTGGCAAATAAAGGTCCTTACTGTCTGTGCTGTTTTGGAATGCCTCCCATCTTCCTGGGGCTCAGATAATGTGTTTCTCTGGAAAAGCATGCATAATCGGCACCAAAATGAGCTGGGACCAGAGGCTGCACTGCCCAGGGATACAAATAAGGGACTTGATACTTGAAAATTAATTCAACTGAAAAGTGTTTGCATAATATTTGAGTAGTGTAACCTTGTGTCTAGATTCAAGTGTTACCTTTTTTTTTTTTTTTTTTTTAACCAGGCGAGGTGAGGTGGGTATTTATGTCGATAAATCCTATGCTATTCGGAAAATGGGAACAAAAGGACTTACCAGAGCATAACAGATTTCAGTGAGGATGGGACAGAAAAGGCCCCTCCCCCTCCTTTTGTTGGCTTTCTAAATTTGTAGTGTGTATGTGTTTCAGTTCACAGGCGGCAAGAATGAGACATTTCCTCCTCAGATTTAACATGCTGTCATGGAAATGCCGATAGGGTTATTTGACGGAGATGTAGCTTAAAAAAAAAAGAGAGAGCAAGAATTTCATTATTGTATTATACTCTGTCCATCTAGGACTCATTAAAGTTCTTTAAAGGTTTATTTTCATCTACAAACCAAGGAATTGTACCCTATTCTCTCTGTGCCAGGATCCAATTAATGTCAACTTGCGTTTTCTGCGTGGACAGGGCCAGTCCATGGCCCTGGGTGATCATCTATTATTATCATTGCTTGCTGGTACATGACTTCACAGCCCTAGCACAGAACCAGTTGTCATGCTTTCCATCTTTTGTACCCCCAAATAGCTCACTGGGTAGAATTTGAGAATGGGCGAGTGGCAGGCCACTCTTTTTGAGAATGCACAGATCAATCATGGTTAGCAAGATTAAGCTCAGTGAGACATCTTATGGAAGGAACACTTTCCTCATATCCAACTTGCTTGTATGGATATTAATTCTTTCTCTTAACTCTAAAAAATTAATTTTATTTTAGAAAGGATGGATTTAATACGTAAAATAAATGCCACTCTTTTGCTTGCTACATGTGTTCAGTTGGAGGGATATCAGAAAAGAGTGTTTTTATTATCCTACAAATTGTTATTGGTTCTAAAATAGTTACCTAATATTGAATGAGAGTATTTGGAATCCTGGAAATCATCGCCAAATAATTTTTGGCTCTGAGTCTACAGAGAAGTGAATTTTTAAAAAAACTCTAATTTAGTGGAAAATTAGTGGAAGGACATAGATTCATATCTAAATTATCCATACATCCAAAATAATAGTACTTTATTTAAAAGGTATCAAATATCTACAATAAGCTAGGCATTACACAGAATGAAGCTATGACATAGGCCTTTTAAACTTAGAATATCATGATCTCTAGCAGAGTATTCGTTCAAATGTGAATAGTGCTGGGTGTTTTTCAAATATATTTTTAAAATCACAATTTCAGTCTAAAGCAATTCTGGTATCTAGGCAAGTCAATTTTTTCATTGTTTTGCATTTTTATCTTTTTTTTTTTAACATCTTTATTGGGGTATAATTGCTTTACAATGGTGTGTTAGTTTCTGCTTTATAACAAAGTGAATCAGTCCATTTTTATCTTTTATATTTTTATCCACTATGTCTACTCACCTATTAACAAATGGTAGTGCCCCTTAAAACACTGAGTTTGAAGGAAATATTTTTAAACAATGAAATGTTCACGTGTTTCATCTTTGAAACACTTAAAAATCATAATGTCATTTATTTGGAAGGTAGTATTAATTATGGACTTTCTTTAGGAAATATCATATTTATTATAAAACTCTCTATATTTACAATTAACATTGCCTTTGTTATAAAAACTCTCACAGCTCATTTTCCACAATATTCTGTTGTAGACAAAACGCTTTTGTAACACATGAAAACAGTGTATCTGTAGAGATGCTACTTTGTCTGTAAACAAGGTTTTCTTATGATACTGCTTCTAAATTTCTCCATTAGATATGTTTGAACTTCATTTTGCAATCTGTTTTACCACTCACTGAAAGTATGCACATGTGTTTGCACATATACCCTTTCCATGTTATAGCTACTGGGAATATTTCAGCTACTTGCATTTCCCAAACTACCTGGCTAACTTAACAGTATGAAATTGATAGATGAAAAATTGTGGTCACATTTATTCCTAGAAGATGGATCTATCTTACAAGAAATTATCCAGGCTTTTGCCAGTTGTGGTAACACCTAACCTTGGTTAGAAGACGGGAGTTATAGTGGTTCATGTCAGCTCAAAGCTTTTCAGCACTTACAGTGACATCAGTAGATCTCTTTGTGGAACTGGTTTGCTACTGGTCTCTAAAGTGAAGCCAGTACAGCATTTCACTCTAGTTTCCTTAAAAAAACAATAAGACAAAATTCACATAGTTGGCATATTGGAAATTTCTTAGAGGGGAGGTAATAGAATCAATATTCTGGAATTTAGTAACATAAAATTTGGAAAGAATTCAATGAAAAAAATGCCAAAGATGACATTGTTTTGTCATTTTTTCCCCTTTCTTTGCCACTTAAATTATGTCTGTTTTCATGTTCTTTTTTCAAATAATCCAATTACCTTTCTCCTATGTGATCCAATTTGCAGGTACACGATAAACAGCAGGTTAGAAGGAGGAATAAATGATTACTTTTAATGATGATCAACACATCTGATGTGATAAATTATGGTTAATGAGTAAATTAGCAGTGAATGATGTGAATGAATCTGCTTTGAAAACTAACTACAGAAGGATGCTAAAGGGTCGGTAGAGTTTCTTTTTTGTCAAATACGGTATCTGTGTTAAATAGCCTTGTGAGTACATTACCATTTAGAGGAAATGTGGAAAAAGGCAATAAATATTGTGTCATTTGCCTACATCTTTATGAATGAGCCAGAGAGATTTCATGACTTTTCATCTGTTTCAGTGTAAGGGCCTTTATCACTCTATTGAATGAAAATGGATGCCTGGTCAAAATGCCTGGTATTTTGAATGCATAAGTAGGTAGTACGTGAACCCAGAGGCTTCAAGTGGAAAATGTTAAGTGAATATATAAATAGTGCTGCTGATAACATGTTTTCATTAAGGATGCATGAGTCTGGCATAAGGAATGGTAAGAATGGCTTCGCTGATTCTATCTTAAGAGTGATTCTGGACCACTGGCACGCCTTTCTAAAATTTGTGTTGCTAAGCCAGTGGTTACAGTGAGTGTCTTACACGAAAACAGATGGTCGGTCTTACTAAGCATGTCGACAGTTCAGAGAAACTTTATGGCCCAGACACAGCGAATATAGAGGATTGTTTGTTTTGGTCATAATATCCCATGGCTGTATGTTAAATAAAAAGTTACGGTAGTGGGCTTCCCTGGTGGCGCAGTGGTTGAGAGTCTGCCTGCCGATGCAGGGGACGCGGGTTCGTGCCCCGGTCCAGGAAGATCCCACATGCCACAGAGCGGCTGGGCCCGTGAGCCATGGCCGCTGAGCCTGCGCGTCCGGAGCCTGTGCTCCACAACGGGAGAGGCCACAACAGTGAGAGGCCCACGTACCGCAAAAAAAAAAAAAAAAAAAAATAAGTTACGGTAGTGAGACTGCACAACTTTTACGGCTGTAAAATAAGTGTTTATAACCCGGGTATTAATATATTTTGAAATAGGACAAACAAGAAATTTATTTTACTACTGTGCACTGACTAATTCATAGGAAACCTCATCTTAATTGTTTTTTGAAAAACAATTTGAAAGACTAAGACGGATGTGAATGTCTTGACTTTTTTAAATCGAAAATTATTTTCTATAGCATTTAAGTACTACTTTCAGTAGTTTCATGTTGATAGATAGTTTTTGTTCTTCCTTCTCCTCTTTCTTCATTGGTCTTTAAGTATTCACCACTAAGTATTCCTCTTACATTCTTTCATCCGAAGGGGAAATGGAAAAGGCAGGATTTGAGGAGTATCTGAAGAGGATTCATCTTTAAGGTGTAAATTTTCCAGTTTTTTCCTCTATACTGATCACCGTCTGACCTCTACCTTCTATCCCTCTGTTTAACTAAAAAGGATAAAAAATTTGCCAGTGATTAAGTGCTAATTTTCAGCTTTGGCAGTGGTCTAGGTAATTGGACACTCATATTTATTCCTCCTATGACTATATGAGTTTTTTAGCATAATTTGTTAAAGTGTATAAAAAGCCTTAGAAATGTATAGTTTTTTAATTCTTTAATTTTACATATAGGAATGCATCATACATGTTAGTTTTACATGTAAGAATGAATCACAGGGCTTCCCTGGTGGCGCAGTGGTTGAGAGTCCGCCTGCCGATGCAGGGGACACGGGTTCATGCCCCGGTCTGGGAAGATCCCACATGCCACGGAGCGGCTGGGCCCGTGAGCCATGGCCACTGAGCCTGTGCGTCCGGAGCCTGTGCTCCGCAACGGGAGAGGCCACAACAGTGAGAGACCCGCATAACGCAAAAAAAAAAAAAAAAAAAAAAAAGAAAGAAAGAATGAATCACATATAGGAATGACGTATATGTGTAGGGATATAAATACAAGAATAATCACTAGAGAACTTTTATAACACTAAAAAATTGGAAACAACCTAAATGTTTAACAGTAAATTAAAATATATCTATATGCTTTATAATATAAAAGCCTTTTCCATTTAAATATTTATTGACAGAAAATATATTCACAATATATTTTAAGTGAAGTGCAGGCTATAAAATAATCATACAGTATAATCTACTTTTTTGTAGACAGTATATGTTAAGCGGACATAGAAAAATTCTTAAAAGCCATTCATCAAAACGATAACCATTAGAATGTTTTAAAATGCCTTCCTTTAATTTATTTATGTTTTCTAATTTACTTATAATAAAAATGTACAGTCAGAACAATAAAGTCAATTTATTTAAAAAAAACTAAAAGTGGCAGAAAATAGGAGAGCTCTGTGGTAACAATGAGGTACAATGATATTCATAAAAGAGGTGAGATCCATTGTATTACATTATACTTCATCTGAATTGAGTCCTACAGTAGGATGCATGAATCTGTGATTTGGATATGCTGTATTTTGCCAACTTTTGACCTGGTATGGCCATTAGTCTCCCACCATGTCACATCAGTATTTTGCAGTGTCAATGTATATTACTTGAAGTTTGTTTCTTCAGCTAATTTATCAAGCTCTAAGCAAATATAATTCAAGTGGAAGCACAGTTATCATGTTTACAACAATATTATGCATTGTAAGTACTGAAAAGTGTATAGTCAAAGATTAGAGGGTATAGTACCTTGGAGAGCCTTTTATCACGTTTAAGTATGTATTGAACACTTACTATGTGCCTGGTGGGATTAGGAGTTACGAGATTTCAGAGATGACCAGGTCACAGATGCTTTTCTCAGGGTTCAGTTAATGAGCAGGGAGAGAAATACATATGTATAAAATATCTGTAATAAATGATAGACTGCTTTAACTCATAGGAGAGATGCAAAAAGTATGATAAGAGAGTTAAAAGAGTAGTGGATCTTATCCAGATGGGAGGATCAAAGAAAACTTCAGATATTTAATTTGGGATTGAAAAATGGGTAAATTCTATAAATTTTAAAATGTGGGAGAAGGCATTTTATATAAGGGAACAGCTTATACCAAGGCATTGACGCAGGGAATTATAGGTTCCTGATGGGCGATAGTAGAAACATATTTGGGAAAGTAGGTCCACAGCAGCTCTGAAAGGTCTTAAAACGCAAATGGGATTTCTGGTTTATTTGGCAGCAGTTAGCTATTAAAGCTTGTTTGTTTGTTTATTTATTTATTTTGAGTGGAAAAGAGCTTTAATCGTAGATGCGTTTAACAAAACCTGAAAGAATAAGAATGAAAAGGAAAAGAAGGGTCGGATCAGCAGTAATTTGTAATATCGATTGTAGCAATAAAAACTTGAAGTTAGGGTGACTGGAAGGGAAAGCACAGATATCATGATATTATTCAGTGATTCTCAATCCTGGCTGATCATTGGCATCTTCTGAAATTAATCACCCAGCCTCACCCACTGACTTTCAATTTTAATTGGTCTGGGGAGGGGTCTGAGCACCTATAGCTTTTTACTTTTTTAAGGTTCCCAAGTGATTCTAACGTCCAGCTTAAAGGGAGAATCATGGTCATTGTGAATAGACATTAAAAAACAAAGGGGAGTGAGACCTATTAGAAGCAGAATCTATAGGACGTAATAATTGAATGATAGTGAGGCAAAGGCCAGGAAGACAAAGAAGAGGCTGAAACAGCAGGGCTGAGTGTTAGGGAGAGTGGGAGTGCCACAAACACACATGGAAACTTAGGAAGAGAAGTAGGATTGGGAAGGCAGATGGCATGGTGTGTTTTCAGCATAATGATTTTGAGATGTTACTAGGTAGTCTTTCAAACATTAGAAATAAGGACCTGGCATTGAGGAGAAGTTCAAGTGGGAGATACCTTTTCATTAAGTCAAGTCTCTTCCTGTCCTCTTTTCTTCCTTTCCTTTTTCCTTCTCCCCTTCCTTTCTGTTAGTATACATATCAATTGTTAGTCACCTTAAATATTGATAGTTATACAGAGGCACAGACATCTATTTATCCAATGGGAGAATGCTGTCGTAATCATTTCAGCAGCCGAGAATTGGGAGTTGAAGCCTTAATAAAATTAATGATCTACAAATAACTCAATTTTGTTTCTGTCATACAGAGTGAAGTAAGTCAGAAAGAGAAAAACAAATACCGTATGCTAACACATATATATGGAATCTAAAAAAAAAAAAAGGTTCTGAAGAATCTAGGGGCAGGACAGGAATACAGATGCAGACATACAGAATAGACTTGAGGACACGGGGAGTGGGAAGGGTAAGCTGGGACAAAGTGAGAGAGTGGCATGGACATGTATACACTACCAAACGTAAAATAGATAGCTAGTGGGAAGCAGCCACATAGCACAGGGAGATCAGCTCAGTGCTTTGTGACCACCTAGAGGGGTGGGATAGGGAGGGTGGGACGGAGATGCAAGAGGGAGGGGATATGGGGATATATGTGTACATATAGCTGATTCACTTTGTTATACAGCAGAAACTAACACACCATTGTAAAGCAATTATACTCCAATAAAGATGTTAAAAAAAATTAATGGTCTAGACATGCATAGAGTATGTTGTCAAAATGCCTTGAAAAGGAAGAGAGGAAATTGATGTCAAGAACTTTCTTGTCTTTTGCCATCATGAACAAATTGAACTTATATGTAGAAAAATACAAAAGTATTCTACCATACTACACTTGGAACTTATGTGATTTATTTTTGAATTTTGTGGCTTTGATTTTTGTCTCTTGCCCAGGCATCACACTTTATGTATCCCTGATTTCAATCGGCTCCTGGAAGTTAGGAAAATAACTTCCATGCGCATTCTGGGTGAACTTTCTCACTTATCTAGTGAAAAATAATTGCTGTAATACAGCACAAAGTACTTACCAAACCCGTGAGAAAACAGCCAGTATACTTTTTATGGTTAAGTAAAACAGATTTGATTTGAAAATATACTATAAATTGAGTTATACCATATTGTCTGTGCAGCATCTTTGTAACTTTCCATCTTCTAATTTGGCACAGTAAAAATATCAGGACTTCACAATTAGATCAAAAGTCCATGATTCACGCTAAACCTCAGTGAGCCTTCCTTCCTTTCTTTTTCCCGTTTTCTCCCTGACTCTTTCTTCCCTTCTAAATTTATGTAGTACTATAAAGCTTTCTAAAATTCTATAAAATAGGAGTAATGGTATACTCTTACAGGACTATGGAAAACACTGCATATAAGATATATAAAACATTTAGTCCAGTGCATGGAATTCACTGAAGAGTAGTTATTTCTTTATCCCATTTTGAAGTATAATGCTCCTGAAATCAGATTTTAAGGTTAAAAGATTGTGGAGTTGTATTAAAAAGAAAATATCATAGATGGCTCAAAAATAGTCTGACTTTGAAGGTCCATCCTGGCCATGGATGTCAGAGGTGACCCTGTTCAGATTCCATGTGATAGGATAGATGTCCCCACAGGCCCGGGTTTATGTAGAACATCTGCCATGGAAACCAGTCCAGCCTGGTGTCTTGTGCCAGGATCCTGGCCCTCCGTACAGTTAAACATCAACTCTGGGACCTCCCCCTTCTTCCCTTGTCACGAGCCTGTACAGTTGTACTGCTATCTTGGGCACACTTTGCTACCTACCCCAATGAATCAGAACAGAAAATCCATCATCTACACAAACTTTGGCCGTTTTCTGTGTTTGGGGCAGTGGCAGTAGAGTGTGTTGTGACTGGACGGGAATGTAAACCCTGTGACAATGGCTCTTGTCCCCCTAAACCTTCAGACCTGGCCATGGCCCTTAGCATCACCCCGGCTTCACCTCCTATGCTTTGCATTTCTCACCGACCTCCAGACCCCTGTTCCTGAGCTTCCCTTCAGAGCCCTCACCCTGATTCTTGCAGAAAAAGAAAGAACAGAGATGAGGTCACCTGACAGTCTCATAAATTCTACAGATACCTTTTAGGGAGGAAGTAGATTCCTAAAGACAGGACTACCTATATATTTTTACTGAACATTTCCTCATCCTCTCCCTCAGTATCGTTTAATAACATTATTAACCTGCCCCTTTCAAGATTTTAAGTACAGTATTGTGACAAATATCCCTTTAAAATCAAAACTCTCTGTTTAAGGAAATGTTAATCAGCTGAAAGAAACAAAGCCAAGTATTTACATGCTGTTAGTTTTGTTCCCAGTGCCACATATTTCCTTGATGTCTGCAGAAGTGGCTTATTCATTAGAATTAAATTAGGCAAATGGCACCATCATTTCATCTCTTCACTTTTGTAGCATGTGGTCCTTTCCAAGGACCTGTTTTACGTGATTCTCAGTTGGCCAGTCAAGTTCCCACAAACCTGAGTCGTCTTGTTAACCTTTAAGAATTTCTCGTAAATCCCTTTCTTCCATGGATGCTACTAGTGGACGTCAGTGTTCTCCTCACTTTATGTCTAGCTCTACTTTATGTAGTGTACTAAAGGAAGGTTTTGTCTTTGAGCAGTTTGTTAAGGATGGTCAAAGGCAATTTGCTGGTCTTGGTACGTTCTGTCCCCTGAATTTAATCACCTTATGTGCTCTTTGGGCTTATCATCTTGTCTTCAGAAAGCCTAGCAACTTGAGACCTGATATGGCATCAAAATATTACAGTCATTGCATTAAAGGTACCGTGCATTGCTTATACTCGTAAGAAGCAATCTAACCTCTTAGAAGGAAAAATCAATCAGCAGCCTGTGGCTCCTCTCAAGTTGTGTAGGAAATAATAATCTACTTGGTTCCTGGAGCTCCTGTCTGCTCTGTGAATGCATCCCGAGAATGCAGTCTTTGAACAGCACGTGAGCACGGCAGACACGTTCTAGAATATCCAGCATGCCTCTTTTCTGACTCATATGCATGTTTAGCTTCTCTATTTTCCATTTAGAAAATAGACTTTCTGGGTCTAACAGTAATCTGACCTCTGCTTGGCATTAGTTTAATAGAAGGTCATACTCCTTACCTGTCAAAACCAGCTTGAACAGAAATGCATTTTGCAGAGCACAATGTTGGCAGCTGTAGGTGGATAGCAATGGCAGTTAGCTACAATAATGGAAGGGTACTTATCTGAATATTGGTGGCTGTAAAGTTTTAATGTCTTTTTCTCCGTCTTTATATTCCCGATAGTTCTTTATTTTCTTAAACCAAGCGTAATATTTATGGTTGTATCTCATGGGATAATCATGGGGACTTTGATTATTAAGACCCGAGGCTGTCCTATTGTGTGACTGTGTAGTGGAAGTCTTTGTTTTATTCTTTTACGTGGGTTCTCTTCTCTTTCTTCCTATCTTCAGAGCATGACTTCAATATGGACATACCCTTGACAAAAGAAGGCAGAAGACTCATTTAGTTTCTTCTATTAAACTGAGATACAGACAAGGGGGAGTGGGTGCTGTGTGTTGTTAGACCCCTCTAGGAATGAAGATTCTTACTTGCTCCTAGCGTTTGTTGGAGTTATGTTTAGTCTTCTTTCTTTCTCATCTGTTTCCTTTGGCCATCTGCCTAACATTGACAGCATCACAGTTAGCATCTGACTAGCCAAGATGATTATTTATGCAACAAACATGCTCACTGAAAGGATTTTACTATATTATCTAGAGTGTTAACCTTGCATCATAGAGTAATGGCACTTATCCTTTCCATGGTTTGGACTTGGTTGACAAATGTAGAAAAATTGACATCAGATCCCATAAGAAAGTCATGACTTTCTTGTCTGTGAAGGCTATTTTTTTTTAACATATATTTAGAAAAGAATTTAAAAATTAAAAAAAACTGTGTGCAAATAATTGATATGCCTTTAAACAATGTAATGTGATCAATTTCATTTTTTGTGTTTGTTTTTAAAGAATAAATTTAAGGACCCTTTTCAGGCTGCTTTTTTGAAGAATACTGAGTCACTACAGTGGGGTGTAGTGGGATTTAGAAAAACAGTCCCAGATCTGAAACAGATCCTAACTGGTTATTTCAATAAATTTTCCACAGTTCATTAGGTTAATTCTATTACTTGACTTCATCTTCAGAAATAAAATCCTTACAGGACTCTACTCAGTACTCTGTAATGACCTGTATGGGAAAAGAACGGAAAAAGAGTGGATATACATATATGTATAACTGATTCACTTTGCTGTATACCTGAAACTAACACGACATTGCAAATCAACTATACTCCTATAAAAATTTTTGAAAAGTAAAATTATCAATTAAGTTTAAAAAAATGAAAAGATCCTTGCAGTAGCATCCAGTGGTTATATCTTTAAACTTGTCAGTGTTTGCATGAGAACTGTAAGGTATGACCAGAAAATGAAGATAAAAGAAAAACACATCTGAACATTGGAATGATAGTTGCATCCCTTTTTGAGAACATGGGAACTTGCCTCCTATGCTTTCCACTTAGAAATAAGACTTCTAGGTTTTATATTAATTCGACTTCTTACTGTCCCCACTCAGTATTTAGGAAGCACTTTCCCGAGTAACTGTTGCCTATTTGCAGATTGTCAGAATCTCCAAATTTCCTTCATTCTTTAGAATGAGAAATAGGATACTTTCCCTTAAAAAAAAAATCCCAGTGCATCAAAAATGGCATCGTACCTTCTTTGTTTATTTAGTTTCTGATTAGTACATAGTCATCTTATGCAACAGCCCTCCTCCCAGTCCATACATTCTTGTGAGAAATTTCAAAACAGAACTTAAATGGGAAGCTGGGTTGTTAAAATTCATTTTCCTTTAGGGTTGACAATTTTTAAGCTATGGACTTTAAAAAGGAAAGTACCTAAAAATGACAGTGCTGTACCACTTAAAATAGCAATGCAATACATTTTGTTTTTCCAGGGAAACTCCCTAGGAATTTTAATTTCATAATTATAATTTCCATTTAGATGCTGACAAGCGAGTAGTTATTATCAATTTGCATTGTTTGCAACAGCAGAATGAAAACCATAAAAACTTTTAATATCTTTTTTGTTTGTGACAGAAAAGTGACATCAGTGTACTGCGTATTTTATTCCTCTCACTGTTAATCAATTTCAAATAATTTTAAACATTGCTCACAGTTCTGGTAATCATCCAGTTTGTATTGCTACTCTGAGATGCTGTTGGATGTGATATCTAGCAGCATTTTTAGAGCCCACTTTCGTTCCTAGGGTTTCTGAACAAACAGGTACCTGGGTTTTCACCAGTTCTACTAACACCAAGTTGAACTTCCTGATGAAGTGGAGACTCATTTCCCAGCATCAGCATTACAAAGATACCACTCACCTCTCTTCTCCCTTCTTTCCCTCATCGTGGAAGTTAATACCTTAAAACTGGAAGGGATCTCTGCAAAATAATTTATTTCACATTTCATATTTTTACAGTTAAGAGATAGGAAAGTTAGGCACCCCCTCAAGATGTTACACATACAAAATGGTGGAGCTGAGAAGGAAATCTGTCTTCCCTGACTCCAGGAAAATCAAGATGAAGGTCAGGACACACACCATCAGGCCAGCAGGAGCATCACAGGGGAAGCATGAAAACAAGGCGGAGAAAATACTGGTGATGAGCAAACAATGATGAACTTTGCTATTTTCTTCTTACTTAGAATCTAAGGATGGTTTTCAAAATAACCTTTAGCTATGGTTACTAAATCCTTGTTTCAATGACGTATCACTGAAAACTGGCCGGAGGCAAGAGGAACTTTGTAATAGGGGTAAGAAAATAGAAAATAAAATGGGAAAGTAAAATGTTTTTGAGTTTAAAAAATGTCCAACTGTAACTTAATTGTCAAAACTCAAAGAAGCAAGAAAAATGTGAAGAGTAGGAAAAATAATTAAAATACCTTCTCCCAAACCACCATCGTTAATGTTTTAGCATATTTTGTCCTATCCTTTTTGGGGTGCATTTTTCTTTACCTGATATCTCTCATCTGTAATTTTGTGTGATGCTTTCGTGGCTTACCATTGAGTCATAAGTATTTCTCGTGGCATATAATAAAAAATTTATAATTACAACATTTACTATTTGTATGACGTTCCATCATTATGCCAGTTTATCTCACCATCAATTCCTATAATAATTGATGTTTTGAGTACTTATAATCTTTGTAAATAAAATATATGGTTAATATCTTTGTCCATAAGTATTTGTCTACATTTTATATAATTTTCATATAATAGATTTCTAGATCCGGAAATACCAGGTAGATAACAAGCAGGCTTTTAAGAGGGAAAGTGTATGTTAGGAACATTTAAAGGAGACAGAGGACATTTCAAAAACCTCCAACTGTTAGCCTTTCGTCCTTAGGAATCTTGAAGTCTACACCTTTCTTTACAGAAATTCTTTTTATTGCTGTGACTTTGGAGGCTTCTTGACTCATCTTTTTATGCAGATTGTGGAGTTCAGTTGAAAGTAAGGCAGCACACAATATCTGGGTTAGAGTCACTTTACCATATTATCCTATTTCTATTTCTTGCCAAACCGTCTAACTCAGGGCTGTATTTCTTGTCTCTTTAAAATTTCCTAGAATTTCTCTTAAATGTCACTAATTTTAATAGTGGCACTGCTGCTTTCTGGCAGTGTCCTGATAGTGGCATCAAAGCAAAGAGCTAAAATTTTACTCACTTTGATTGATGAGCTCATTTTGTTACAGAGGACAAATTGGATTTTTTTTTAATACTGGTAGTAAAAATTAATGTGTGATGTTGCTTTACAAATGTTATTGCATCTCTGCCATAATACGGATTTCAGCAATAAAAGCACTAGCAGATAACTTCACCAGAAAGTTACCTCCCTCCCCTTTTAACTACCCTCAAATGTAAACGGTGCTTTCCTAATTTTATAATCCTTGTATATGTGTATGGATGTATATATTGACTGAAATAGGGTTGAGGGCTCTGGAGAGAGCAGTGGCAATGGGGTAATAGTCTGTGTTTCCACTTTCCATCTAATTGTGATGTTTATTTCTTTTTATTTCAGCACCTCCAAGGTTTACACGAACTCCCGTTGACCAGACAGGGGTCTCTGGTGGAGTTGCCTCTTTCATTTGCCAAGCGACGGGAGACCCAAGACCTAAAATTGTCTGGAACAAAAAAGGAAAGAAAGTCAGCAATCAGAGATTTGAGGTATTAGGTCCATTGTTCTGTTTCTCTGGGGGAAGAATGTAACTGCTGAATTTTTGGTTTGTATGTTACTTGTTTTTCTCTGATACAAGATGTTGTAATCACTGAGATATGCCATTCCTTATGTTGTATGTGATGGAAAACTTCACTCTAGATGGCTTCAGCTTTTTTAAAAAAGGGAATTTGGGGGTTCAGATGACTGACTTTTGTCGTGCTTGTACGAGGGCTCAAACAGTGTTCTTAGCATCCATCTGGAACCTCATCCTCAGACTGCTTCCCCTTAAGATGGCAAGATGCAGTCTCACATCCTCCCACATCCGAGACTAGAGGATGAGTGAGAGCTTTCTGTGCTATTGGCTCTTATTGAGTTTCGTGTTCATCACTGAACCAGTCTGTGTGGACAGCTGGATGGTACAGACTAACTCATTTATGTTAATCAGAATCTACCTCAGTTACTGGGAATGAGATCAGTTTCATCCAACCCCATGGCTTGGAATGAGGGAGTAGTGTTTTCCCAAAGGGAATTCAAGTTCCTGTTATCCGAAAGAAGGGGAACAGATACTGGACAGCAGATTTAGTTGTCCACTATACTTCACACCTGTGTTTTACAGGTAGCATGGACTAGAAAGAGAACTTAGCTCCAGTGTGTTAGTGTGAAGAACTGCTCTGAAGGAAACATACCCAACCAGGTTGATAGTTGATAAACCTACTGATGAAGTCGATTTTGTTTATTCAGGAAAGCTTAGTGCATTGAAGATGATGATACATAATTCAGATCTTATTTTGGGTGTTTTTAAGGAGCCTATGGTTTATAAATTTGCTCCTTCTGGAGGAGAAAAATAGGTGATAAGCTATTTAGAGAAAAATTGGAAGAAGCACACAATACCATGCCTGTAATTTAAGATATGAAGAGGATAGATTGATTTTTAGAGAGCACTTAGACCTCCAAACTGACCCAAAATGTGAAACTCACCTCCTCTTACCTGAGTTTCTGACTACTTTATAGCCTAATTCACAGTTTGGCAAATTAAAACAATTCCCAGTTAACTGAAACATAGCAACGACAAAATTCAGAGCATTGTGAGTTTATTCATTTTTCACCAGTTCTCAAAGAGCAGGAAATGGACCAAATGCATAAAGAGCATAATTACACTGGTGAAAATTGAAATCTGGCCTGTAGTTTACAAATGGTAAGTTTAAAATTTTCTTTGTTTGAAGATCAGATACCTACAGTGATTTAAACATAAACAAAAAGAATATCTTAATCTTTGAGAAATATTTCCTACATTGTCATAGGAAATGATGTGTGTGTGACTTTTGGTGCACATATACTTTTTAGTTTAAATGAAATTCACTTTTTTGTCAAAGAAGTTTGACATCATGCTTGCTAGTGATGATGGCTTCTTGACAAACTCTTGTAACAAAGTTTAAATTATAACAGTAAACATTTCAAAGCAGGAGGTCTGCTCAGTACATAATTCCTAATGAGAGTCAAATAAACATCCAGAAAAAATTATTTTAACACAAAGCGGCTACATCAAATAGTACTGAGTCTTCGGCTGTGAATCCTTCATATCTGTAACAGTATATTATATTTTTTGGTTTCACTAGTTTCTAAAGCCCATGAGAGTATGAGTGAGACTGATTTTGTTCCCTCTTCTATCTCTAGTGGCAAATATAGCATCTGGCCTAGAGTAGGTACATAATTAATACTGGGTGTTAAATCGGGTTTTCAAATTGGAGATTACAATATTAGCATCTAATGTGTATATTGTTTGTTGAAGAAAATAGGTCTAAACCTAGGAAGTAGTTCAGAAATGTAAGCATGCAATGACACGTAACAATTAATCAAAAGTTAAGAGAGTAGATCCTAAGAGTTCTCATCATAAGTAGAAAAACATTTCTTCTTCTATTGTATCTATATGAGATGATGGATGTTAGCTAAAACCTACTTTGGTCATCATTTCACAATATATGTAAATCAGACCATCGTGCTATACACCTTAAACCTTATATAGTGATGTATGTCAATTATTTCTCAATAAAACTGAAAAAAATGAAAATTTAAATTAGTATTAAAGATGTTTAAACCTTTCTCTACATTAAGCAATAGGATGCTCAAATATATATATATATATATATATATATATATAAATTATAGCATATTTGACAAAGATTCCAGTAGCTATGAAACTTTATTCTCCCACGATGCATAGTAGATTCATTCTAAAGTGTGTGATATTTTTAATAGAGTTGAAAATAAATTGTGGTGCATTGAGAAATGGGATGTTTTGACTATCTCTGTGAATTTAGAATGTAAATGGGATGCAGAAAGGACTTGAATTGGCCATATCTTAAAAACATTCAATCTCTTTTTTCCGTATGTTGACACTTATATACAAAATCTGGGATTGATCATCTAGTAAATATATTTATAAAGCATTCTTAATTTATTCACAATTTAAGCACATGGATATATTATTCATAGGGAAATGCAAAAAAAACCCCCACCATCTCAGTGAACAGCTGGAAAAACACAGCAGAGTTATAGAAAAGACAAGTAGAGGACTCTACAGTTTTGTATGCATATTTATCAATATTATCAACATCATTTTTTAAAAGTATTACTTGAGTAGGTGACAAATACTTAACTGTTTCAAAGTAGAGTCCCTAATGATAGTGAATTCAGGCTTACTGTTTAGGACATTAATTTTCTGCCTGGTGAAGCAAGCCTCCATTTTACAGCAAGAATGCCCTAAAAATGCAGAAAATGCTAAGCTAAAACAAATACTGGAATGATTTATGGCAAAATTAATGCATGCCATCAGTCTCTGGGGCTATGAAAGCCATCTCATTGGCTGCCTAAGTACTAGATTTATGCAGTTTCTCTTCATGGTTTGCTCATCTATACTGTTCAGGATGAGACATTTTAAACTAGAAGAGCTATCAGTGGTGGCATACATTATTTCTTCACCTTATCGTCCAATTACTGAATGGATCCACATGTGCATATGTGCTGTCAGAGACAGAATAATTTAAGAAGTGTATCCATCATAGCAGCAAGTCTCTTGCAAAATTAATAAAAAGGTCACATTGCCCTAGATACATATACTAGAATATTTTCATGATTAAACCCTGGATGGTTTTCTGTAGAGACAAGAAATCTACATTTTTGCATATGTAGTTTCATGTCTTTCCATTCTGCCGTATAGGATTCAGTACATTAGAGCAATTATTCTGTTTCATCACTGTATCAAAATTCAGTCTCAAAATGCTTCTGAGTTTATTCTGAGCCTAATGGGTGGTTCACCACTGGATTAAGAGATTTAGCTGAGAGGCAGATGATAGTAACAACACCTGTGACAGCTATTGTTTCCTCTAATAGGTAATAGAGTTTGACGATGGATCTGGATCAGTTCTCAGAATACAACCCTTACGGACTCCGCGAGATGAGGCAATTTATGAATGTGTGGCCTCGAATAATGTGGGAGAAATAAGTGTATCCACCAGACTCACAGTTTTACGAGGTAAGTATTCAAGTGCAAGGCTGCTGCTTGGGTAGTTGAAATTCTGTATCCCAGGTGTTCTTTTGTAGAATCATTGAAAAGACTACAGTTGTCATGACACTTAAATGGGAAATGAATTGAAGTAAAATACTGATTAGGGTCAAACTTTATTTAAATAGACAGAGGGTGCCTTCTCTCCTAGGACTTAAAAAATGCTAGTCGGGGAAAGGAAAGAAAGTCCCAAAGGAGTGCTGATTTCAAATGCCAGATACCATTTTGATTTTTGGTAAAGAGCCTTGATAGGAAGCAGGGTATGCTACTGTTTTGCATGTTAGCTTCACTTGTGTGTGGATTTTTCATATCTAGGTCAGCAACTACTTTTTGGAAATTACCAAAGCTGACATTGGTGGTTGCAAAATTAAAGGAATATCTACTACCTAAACATGAGTTCTTATTAAGCAGAGGAATCAAGAACAAGAAAGGCACCTTTCTTCTTTATGTCCAAAAAAAGTGTTTTGTTTCAGTCTTTTATATTTCTTGAACGAACATCTGTTGATGCAAAGTGATTGGAAACAGTGTGTCCCCTTCTGTGTTTCCAGCTATGTGGCTTATGCAATGTGCCCAAAGCATGGGCTGACTTGCTAAATCTGTAGTACGGTGTATCTACTTCCAAGACTTCCTTTAGAATGACAGTGCTAGAGAATAATGGCTAGTGATTAATAATGCTCTGTTGTATTATATATATAATTCAATCTTTTGCATAGAGATAAGAATATTGCCTAATTTGGCTTGCGTCGTAGTTGACATTTCCAGACTAACCCTCTGTGCCTTTGTTTCTTTCTCATACACACTTGCATTTGTCTGTTTGTTTTGTATTGCTTTGAACTTTGCTTTGCTTGATTCCACAACTTAGTAAAATAGCCTTTCTTCCGATGAATGGAATTAGAAAGAAGAGATCATAATTGAATAATCTTAGAGGAACATATATAGAGTGAGAGCATTTCTCCTCCATTCCATCCCCCCCACCCCCGCTTTGAGGCATGTATGTTTCTCTGTATGTTTTATACAATCAAAAATATTTTCTTTTAGATCTGTTTAGTACCAAAATTAATCAGTCAATCTGAGAAGTCTAGAAAATAATATTTACATATACATCCTACAATGTGCTTTAAGTACTATAAAATCTTACTAAGTCTTAGGGGAAATATTGACCAACTGGATATAGTTCTTTTAATTGCATGTAACAGAATGCTGCTTAAAAACAAACAAGTCAAATTTGAGCTACATTTCCGGCCATTATGACACACTGTGTTCATATAGGAAATTCTCCATCCCCCTGTAAACATATAGACATGTTGATAAAATATTTGAAAATAAAATTAAATGTGTGGTTAGGTTTACAAACGTGAAAGAAATTTCCAGGTGCTCAGAACAGAAGGAGAGCCTCGGATAAGAGATAATTTGTAATCTTATAAACCAAGATAATAACCAAATGGACTATATGATTTAGGGCTGAAGTTTTAACTCTCCAGCAGGACACAGACCTATATAAAATAAGAGGAGCTAGATCAGCTTTCTGAACAAGGTAAGAATTCTAGCACTATTTCTGCAGCGCGATACTTAGAACCCAGAAGCTAACATAAAAGCTGGTCAGAAACGGTGAATCCCATGGAGTGTGGAACAGACAGCCATGTAAGGACTCACCCCACAGAGACACCACCACAGTTCAGGCCATACAACCCCAGATAAGGTCATTTATTCCCAGATGGGCTCATAGGCACCAGTTCTAAAGCATGAAAGCCAGTTCCAACTCATGAGGGACGGGAAGCCCAATCAGTGAGAGTAGAAATCATAGTCTGTGAACTATAGATAATTGAACTGTATGAATGGGTTTTAAAAGAAATGAATTCTAAATATTTGTAAAGGTAAAGGGAGGAGTAAAATCTGTTACGTAAGAATAAGACTTTAGGAAAAAAAAGAGCAGTTAGGAGTTAGAAGTCAGATTTCGGAGCTGAAAGGGACCTTGGAGACTATGTTTATACATACTGTAATAGGTACATATGTGGATATACATGTATATGTTCACATAAACTTAGATAAAAGGTCTGGAGATTGTTGAGTAATTTTGGGGGCCATTCATATAGGAAGCTAAATCGGATTCTCTGGTCTTCTTTAAAAATTTTAACCTTTGCTTATTCATGTAGTTTATAACTAATGCTATTATGTAGAAAACGTATTACAGAGATGCGATCAAGTAAAAGTTATTAGAAACTTTTTAGGTGTTTTTGCCTTCTGAGTTCCCTGAACAAACCCCCTAAAAGGAAACAGTGGCAGTCACTTGGCTTGACTTCATCTTTATGCATTTGAGGAAGGAATTAACAAGAAGTTGGAGGAAAATATCACTTTACATAGACATTCATATGGATTTATGTTTTCCTGCCTCCCAGTTGACTGGGGTCCTCCCATCTCATCTGCTTTTATCCAACTAGCTCCCACGTAAAACAAATACATTTGAAAATTTTAATGTAATCTTGACTTTCTATGTGCATATCTGTCATATATAAGTACATTTGTATGAAAATTTATAATTCTAGTAAAGTACTTAAACCTTATTTTTTTAAGACTATGTTTAGCAATTTTGGAAATGTTTCATGAGAAAAACTCAAAGGTATTTTGGATAATGAAAAAGTAGTCTAAACATAATCTTAAAATAGAATATTTTTATATATCCTTATAGGATGAAATACGTGGAGTTGGGAATTATTTTGTTTCCTAGAGTTACCTCTTTGTTTAAAATTTCTGAATAACAGTAATCCTATTAGTAATAGTCTTTACAAATATCCCAGTGGTAAACTGACATTTCTAGATTATGAACGTTGTGAACAGCTAACTAGATGAATGTGTAGAGTTTCATTCCATAGTTGATGGGCTTCGTGCTCATTTTAAGTTCACTTTTTCTTGCAAATCACATTGGCAGATACTCAGGCTCTCTGCTCTGCAGTGGATGGAAAATATTTTGCACTTTTCATCCATACCCATCGTTAGATGCCCATTTTGTCCACATGGGTCATTTACTTTTTACCCACTCTGCTGACAATGCCAAAAATGTGCCAGCTGTCACGATGGGTTTTGTCTAAGTGGACTGGATGGAGATCACTAATTTATTTCACACAGGCCACTAGAGGACCTAATTAATTGAAGATTTAATCATCTGACCTGTACAGCTAATGCAGAAGACATTGAAATAATACTCTGACCACCCATGTGCATTGAAGGGAGTACTTCAGGGAAAATCTTCCCTGTGTAGCTCGTTTCAAATTACCCTCGCTCTGAAAAACTGTTTTCATAAGGAAAGATAACTACAAGCTCGGGCTGAACATACCCTGGAATGAGATATTTGAGCAATTACCATTTATACGCTGTAGACTGCAGTTCATAGAAGAAGTAGTGGGAGAAGTGGGGTTGAATGTGGTACTTATGGCCTCCAGGTCACTTAAAACTTTTTTTGGTTGCCCTGCCTGTGGAAACACAAGAACATACCATCTCCGTAGTTCTATAGCACTTAAAGGGGCTGAGCATAGTTGTCATACACGTTTCCCTTCTACACAGAACTTTAAGTGAAGGCCTTCACATCTCACTGAGTCGTTATTAAGGGTTGAGTCTTACCTAATTGTGGGATTCTGCTAAGGACTTTGGATTTGATATTAAGCTTTCAGTGAAGGGCAAACTATAGGACCAGAGAGGGTGTTTTAAGAAGAGCGATTATCATCCAGATGGAGTTGGTTCTGTCTGAATCTTTGGTTCACTGGCCACAGTTTCCTCTTGTCTAAAGGTATTACATTACTTGTAAATGTAAATCCGTATAATGATAACTGGGGATGAAAATGTTCGCTCAGATATATCTTGTCCACCACTGGACAGGGAAAATGAGATATCACCTTCCATAGACTTTTCTTTCCTATAAGAGTCCAGGAGCATCTGCCTGTTTTAGACAAGTAGAAAGACAAGAATCCCCTTTTCTTGGGACTTCCCTGGTGGTCCAGTGGTTAAGACTCTGCGCTTCCACTGCGGGGGGCACAGGTTCGATCCCTGGTCGGGGAACTAAGATTCCATATGCATATGCTGTGCTGCATGGCCAAAAAAAAAAAGAAGAATCCCTTTTTCTTGCTCACATGACTCCCCCTCTCTAAGAGAAAGTTCTAGAAAAATTTAGTCAACTTTGTCTCTGATAGTCTGAGATGTCTAAATGTCATGTTTCTTGAATTTAGGTGTTTTTTTTAGGTAGTAATCAGAAAATACACATTTTGTTGTCATCCAAAACAGCATGTACTATGTCATTTTTCTAAGTTTAGTGGATTTTCTTCTGAGACTTGCCCATTCTGAAATAACACTGATCCCCAAACCAGCACGAGCATTACCACAAGAAAACAGAGTATGATATACACCATTGTTGCTGTTATCTTCTAGCTTGTTCCTAGAGCACACACAAAGTAAAATTGTTGTCAACAAAAGATAGCTGGCCAAACAGACAATTGAGTTGCCTAGTTTTGCAGGTGTACCTTATGAAGTGGCACTTATATTTGAGGATCTACTCCACATACGTGCATCACAGTTTATGAATAATCACCATCAAGACATAATACACAAAGTCCTCAAGTCCAGGTCTCCAGTAATTTGAGTTCCAGCTCTGGCTCTGTCCCACAATAGCTGTGACATCTTGAGCAAATCTATTAACTCCCCTGTTCTTTTACTTCTTTATTTATCTTGGCGCCGTGTGCACAGGGAAGGCAGTGAATTGGTGATCACTCAGATCCCTGCTTTCTAGCTTTCTGTGATTTGGTGACATGCTTATTTCAACAAGTCAGTTCTTGCAAGATGGAAAAAAGATGCTCCCTGCTCCCTGAAGGTGACTGTTACTGATATAGTAAAGCACACAGTGAGCGGTTGGATGAGACAGAAAAGGCATTTCACTGGGAAATGGAGAGAAATGGTTGCATAATATGTCTGTTTCAAAAAAAAAT